ATAATTCCCTCGGCAAAAGAATTCAACATCTGATTTACTCACAATGCTTAAAATAAGGAAGGGAAAATATAAAATAAGTTTTCCTTGCTTGGCAACCATCTTTTTAATTATCTATTTTAATACTGTATCCAGGCTATGCCTGGGTGTGGATGGCTAACTCGCATATAGAAAATATCAAGCATCACATCTGGAAGAATCACAAACGAGACAATGAACTTCTCAATCAGTACATCAACAGTCAAGGTAAGCAAGAAAAGGACTTTACCAAGAAACTAACATTTACACTTTTTGACGGAACTGAAATACACTGAATTACAGAGCAAATTCACTGAAACAACAAAGAAAATTCTGTCCATGTAAAGGCTATTATTTTTTACCCCCAAAAAAGTGTTTCAATTCTGATACTCACACCACAACTGGTTAAGAAAATAAAGCGCAGTGTTTAGCAACTGGGCATCCTAACTACCGTAAGAGGCACTCTGTGCTCACCCCTTCCTGGCAACCGCTGAGGTCAGCAAGGCCAGGAGCAAGGAGAGCCTCCTATTTTTCAACACAAGCTGCTGCCGTCTCCTTGTTGAAGCCCCGGATGGAGAGATCATAGACCACCTCCTCTACTTTCTTCACGTCATATTTCAATCCGTCGTAGCGCTTCCTCAGGGAGTCATTTTTCAGGTTGAGAAGGCGGAAGCCGGAATCCAGCTCATTGATGAAGGTGGAGATGTGGAGGGGTCGGGAGTAGTCTCCAGCAGTCACGCTGTTGACAGACAGCCTTGACTGTACCAGGAAAGAGAAATCAGGGGCTTGTTACAACATGCTGCTCCTCAGTGCATCTTCCTCTGAATCAAAGCCACAAGAACCGCAGGTCTACACAGCTACGCTCATGTTCTATCTCAGGGCACATGCAAGTACAGACAAGACAGGAGCTTCTCCGAAAAGAATCCCACTGAAAATGAGACCATTTCTGCCAAGTAAAATTTAATATTACTAACATCTAAAATTTCTCTAATTTCTTAAACTGGCTATTGCATCATAAAGTGTTACATTACATACACAAGCATCTTTACAGCTCATCTGCTATCATAACGAAGAAATAAACCACAAAGTAATCACAGCAGCTCCACTATCTCTTCCAACCTTGGCCAAATGATCACATTTCTAGAGCC